CACGGCCTCTCTCCCGGCCTCTCTCCGCAGCGCATGACGGACAAGTGCTTTCGGAAGTGCATCGGGAAGCCCGGCGGCGCGCTGGACAACTCGGAGCAGGTGAGCGCGGTCGGGGAGAAGCGGGGACCCCGCGGGCCACCCCCCCCCGGACCACCGCTGAGCGCTCTCCGTCCCGCAGAAGTGCATCGCCATGTGCATGGACCGGTACATGGACGCCTGGAACACGGTTTCCCGAGCCTACAACTCTCGGCTGCAGCGGGAGAGGGCCAACATGTGAAACGTCCCGGCTCCTGGACCAGGGAGGGACCATGCGGGGAAGGGACGAGCGGCCAGTCCAGGTGGCTGGGGGTGAAATCCTGGTGCCTTTCCAGCCCCTGCCATGGCAGAGCAATAAACCCTCGCTGAACCTTTTGCATCCATTGGCTTTTATTAGCACCGGCCCCAGGAGCGAGTGAATTTTCCAGCCTTGAGAGCCACCGTGAGCTGCTTGGTTTGCCTCATGCCCTTCCCAACGGTCCAGACTGGCCAAGGCATTTTAGCAGCTGATAAATCCCTGCTGAAAGGGCTGCGAGAGGCAAGGAGCCTTCTGTGGAAACGGGGGGCCAAGCCAGCAATACAGTCCCCTTGCCCAGGAAGCAAGCATGGACCCAGCCATCAGGTAGTTACCCGGTCCCTTTTCATCAGTGGAAAAGCTCCCGTAAGATGCTCCACACGCCACCCTTGGCTCTTTCTTCCCTTCTATTTGTATAGCTGTATGTGGGGCTCACCTTTGGGCTCGTAGGCTAAAGCAGGGTGCTGGGGAGCAGGGGTGCGCTTATTAGGCTCGCAGCACAGCCTTGCTTGTGCAAACACGGTTGGGGGTGAAGAGCGTTGTTGGGAAGTACTTAGGTTGATTTCTTTATAGAATAAAATGTGTTGTGTGGCTGTGACATTCTGTAACTTCTGGTTTGGCTCTGGCACAGACAATCCATCTTGGAGCCTACTTTCTAGGTGACATTTTTTGAGGGAGGAGCACTTCTGCAAGACAGAACTTGGGTCTGCTTTGGGGCTGAGCTCTATATTGTTCTTGGCTTACACACCTCTCCCGGAAAGATCGGTTCATGCTGTGTTGTCAGCAGTGCGCACAGCAGCTGGAAGAAGAGAGTATTGGAGATTAAAAGTGCCCATGCTTCTGTAGTGAGATTTTTGAAATTCCTTCTTTGGAAGCTCTTCTGTATTTTATAAAATATTTCACTGTTTGCTGGGGCAGGGAGACAGATTGGAAGGGTGATGTCTCCTTAGCTGCTAAGCACATTCAAAAGGATGTGGAAGAACCTGATTTCATTTAATCTCCCAATGTGGTGGCTTCTATGACGGTACTGAAGTGTTCTCACACAAGGTACACTATTAGGAGATAACTGGACATTTGGACTAATTGAAGCTAGAGCTTCCCACCCAGATTGGGCAGACCGACTACTTGAAAATGAAGTGCTTTCCAGCCATGTTTGCTTAGGGGCTTTTTTACTTTTCGTTATGGCTGTATGAATTTTGTGGTACTGGCTGTGCAGCAGTCCCATTTCATTGATGGGAGCATTCCACAAGTGGGCCAGCCACGGATCTGAACCCACCTTGAGCTGGAAGCCAGGTCTCCCACCTTGCTAGTGCTCTAGCTGGGAAAAGTGGTGGATCCCACTGCCAGCTGGATTGGGAAAGAAGAAACCTCTTGCTATACCCAAATGCAGAGCTTAAGTGCCAAAGACTAGGAAGGGGGTTGGGGTACTAGCTGCTCTTCAGTTTCAGTGGTCAAATCTAAGTCTGCCTAAGACTTGACACGTGAGCTCAGCAGTTTTTTGTGAACAAAGGTGTCTGCGTGCCTTATGCTGGCGAGTGGGACCTGACTTCCCACTGAAGGAGCCGCATGCTTGGGCACTTTGCTTGGGCACTTTGAATTTTTCCCACCTAACTGAACCAGAACAGTGGTCTGTGTGGCTGTGCCTTGATCTTTGTCAATGTAATCACCTCTTCCCTTACGCAGAGGGAGCTGGGGGCGTGAGAAGCCTGTCCCAATTCTCTAATACAGATGAGGGCCCGTACAGTCTAAGTCCAAGTGGTTTAGTCCTACCTTCTTTTGTGACCAAATGGTGAGCCAGAGGATCATCACTGAGCTTACCAGTACCAAGCACTCGGTGCAAATAGTAGCGTACATACCCTTTCCAAAAGCCGCTGCACACTGTAACAGCTCCATCAAGGCAGGGAGGTCTGAGGCTTCTGCAAGGACATACCTCTGGGCTGGAGCAAAGTCCACTTGTCTCTGGCAGATGTTTCTGGCACCCCCTCCAACTAGAAAGGCCACTTTTTATTGCGTAGGATGTTTGGCCAGGTCTTAAGATGGGACAGGCCTCATTTATTTATAGACAATGTCTAGAATTGTACCTTGCTATACAAAGCAGTTATCAAATGCCCTGGTGTCACAACTGCAGTGGGTCACACGACACTGGCATTTGCTTAATTTGCAGGCCATCTTCACCCCTTCCCGACATCAAAATAAAATGTACAATAGCTGAGGGGTTAGTGCATCCTCTGGCAATTACTCCTCTCGTTCGTCGCCTTCCCTGAGTGGCGAAATGCAGCTTCAGAGCTTGAGGTTCTGCGCAATCCAGCCCTGGACAGCTGTGACTTTGGTGTAGACACCAGGGAAGTGTGGTCTGGCACAGCCGTAGCCCCAGCTTGTGATTCCGGCTAGAAACCACTTCCCCGAGGGTTCTTTACATGCCAGGGGCCCACCTGCATCGCCCTGCAGAGAGAGGAAAGGGATCCTGTATTAAGCCAAAAAGGCAGCCCAGCTCCCCCAGCTGTGAGATGTTCTTTCTCTCTGGGACAGAGGAGCATTTGCTGTCCTGCTCCCCACCTCCCCAGACGCCTGCTTCCAAGCTAGAGGACTGCTTGGTGATGTACTTGCACGCACAATCTGAGGTTGGGGTTCTGGAACATGGAAAAGCCTGTTCGGAGGCACAAGAGGGTCATGTAACGGGCTCCATGGTATCCCTGGGGTCTCCTGCTTGTTTCCCTCCATGTTTCCCTGACCTCTCGCAGGTTGGTGGGGCAAGCAGAATGAGGCGTATGCAGGATGAACTTGGACAGCAGCAACAGCCAGTGGAGGTGGATGGACAGACAGCTGAGCTAGGGGAGGCACGGCAAGGGCCTCCTGAGAGAGTATAGCCAGGGGACTTCGCACAAGATTGCTCTGTCCCGGCCGCAGCATTTGCTGCTCTTGCACTCACTGAGCAGCTGTCGACGGTGCCCTGCGGGAAACCGGCACACACCATCCTGCTGCTGATCTGGACAGGGTAGAACTTTTTGCAGGCCTGGTCTCCAATCATGTTCACTGCTGCTTTTTGCAGATGCTTTGACATGAGACCTGAGGAGACAAGTATCGCTGTTAGCTTGGTGCAGAGCACGGGAGAAGCAGAAGCATGTGTAGGAGCGGGGTCTCTGCAGCCTTGCTTCCCAGAGACCTGCACTGGGAGAGAGAATCGGGTTCCTCCCCAGCAGAGCAAGCACAGGCAGGTCCCTTTGGTGTGCGGTTTGTCAGGCAGCTCGGCTGACCAGATAGAAATGGTATCAGCGTGGTCCTTGTACTGCAGGAGCACAGCTGGAGCAGCTGCTACAGGGATGGGGAGCACCGGGGCTGGCACGTAGAAAGCTTGGGAAGGCTGCAAGAGGGCAGGGGCGTAACCAAATGGAGGAGTACAGTGCACGGCCGTTGGGCAGGAGATTGTGGTGACACCAGCCTTGCCTGGGTTGGTATCCCCTGCAGGGTCTGGCCTGGCATGGGGCCGTGGAGTGGGAGTTGCAGATGTTTGGACTTGCAGGGTAGGTGGCACTTAGCTTCACCACCGTGGATGTGAGGGAGCCCGCTCAGCCAGTACCTCCTTCCTTCGTGGAGCCCCAGCCTGTGATGAAGCATCTGGCTCCTTCATGGAAGATGTGTGAATTGTCCGGGAGACATATAGGTTTGATGGTGTTGCTGAACTTGACGGGCGTGTTCAGCTCTAGCAGTGCCACATCATAGTCCAGGCTGTAGACGTTGTAAAAAGGATGCTTGTAGATACGGAATATTTTCTCCATTTTGCCATCGATGCCACTCAGGAAGGGTGTTCCTAGAAAGGCCACCCACATTTTGGGATCACTGTAACTGCAGAAAGACAGCAAACGCAGGGGTTAGGAGCATGACTCCAAAGGAGGGCCGTTCCTCTGGTCATGGGGCTGGGATGCACCATGGCCACACCGTGTGAGGCCAGGACCCCTGTCTGCATCACACTGTGGACATACCCCGGCTTTGCTCCACTCATTCCTCTTCACGCTTACCTGTAGGGACACATCTGCAATAGGGAGTGTGCGCTTCCAGTGGGGCACAGCATCCCAGCCACGGTGCTGGACTGCGAGGAGGGGCAGGAGCGGGTGGGCTGGGGGGAGTGAGGCCAAGAGCCAGCTGGCTTCACTAGCCCATCTCAGACTTACATATCAAAGCAGTGAGCTGCAGAGAGCAGCCACCGGTCGGCAATGAGGACAGCCCCGCACTTGTGCTCCTTGCGCCGAAGCCAGAGACTGACTTGCCAGGGCCATTCTCCTCGAGCCGCAGTGCTGCCGCCCACGATCTTGTTGAAGGCCAGAGCAGTTGTTACACCACAGTCTGGGACAGAAGAAGAGGCACCGTGGTTTTAAGCAGCCATAAGTGAAAGGGATACCTGCCCTCCTTCCATAGCGCGTGCCATGGGGCAGTAGGATGTGACGAATTTCGTTCACCCGTCTGAGGCAAGCCTTGGCAGACACGGTGTGGGTCAGGAACTTTTACTTGCTACCACAGATCACACCTTCCAGGGATGCAGTACGTGAGGAGGGAATGTTTGGATGGACTGGCTGAGCTGTCGCACAGCAAGGAACGCGCAGTCCAAGGAACAGTCCCAGGGATGACAATACATCTTCTGGGCTGCCACGTTGTGCAGAGCTGTCTTGCCAGCTTGTACTAGGAGACTGACTGGCCAGAAGGCCTGTGTGCTAGGAAATGGGTTCTCATGTTTATAGCACAGGAGAAGAGGGCACATTCCCTGGCAAAAAATTTGAACCCTCCTCATCCAGCTTTATCTTGTTATAGGCTCTGGCAGCCTAAGTAGGTCCTGGACCACCAGGGGCTGGCCAAGACCCCAGTCTACAACGTGGGGGTGAAGACAGCCCACGTGAAGTTAGTGGGTTGCACTGGGGAGTCTGCGTACCGTAGAATGAGCCTGGGTAGCCGTC